CTGTTTGGTGCTATAAGGTAAATCCCAATTCTTCCAACCCCTACTCCAAGTTCGTGTGTTGTGTTTGGGGCTTTTTTAACAGTATTTCAGTTATATTACAGTGAGTGAGCATAATTAGGTAGGAGTGATTGTTGATTGTCTGTTTGTTGTTTAACGACGCACGAAGCAATATTCAAGCTATATGACAGCGGTCTGTAAAAAATTGTGTCTGGACCAGACAATCTAGGGATAGACATCGTGAGTATCATTCCATGCATTTGGGATACGATGACATGCATCAATCAAGTCAGCAAGCCTGACCACCTGATCCCGTTACTTGCCTCATACTACAAGCATAGTTGCCTTTTACGGCAAGCATGGGTTGCTGAAGACCTATTCTACCCCGGATCTTTATGGGTGAATTAGGTAGGAAAACCAACAGGGCGGACATCTTAGATTTTACAACATTTGCGACAAATAAGTGTGGTGCAGCCAAACCAAGAACTCAGACCACTTGCATCTCACCAGAATTTACAAGATGTTTTATCTCTGCTAAGCCTTGCTCCAAGGCTGTACTGAAAGAAAAGTCCATGGATATGTAGTAATTCTACCCTCCTAATAGGCAAGTCTAGATATGTGGACAGTATAGGACTCCAGTCTCTCATAAGGACAATTTGTTCTGATTATTTACATAATCTAGAAATTATGATCAAAACTTATAATTATTGCCTGAAAGACTTGCGCAAGTCTAACCTCTGCTGTGGACAGACAGGTAAAAACCACATAGAGAGGATAGACTATCATCCTTTGGGCAGTTTTTTTATATATATTTATATTTAATTAGATTTATATTTTTCTAAATCAGTGTCATCCCAGTTGCACATCGTTATTCTATACTATACTATAATTTTTGTAAAATGGTTCTGCTGTTTGAGTGTTGTTTTTTTTCATATTGTTTTTCAGTCACTGGATTGTCTGGGCCAGACTCGATAATTAACAGGGTGCCATCATATAGTTGGAATATTGATGAATGGGGTGTTAAACAAGTAGCAAAAAAAACAATATTTTAAAACAATGTACTATTTTGTGGTGTCACCAGTTCAAAATCTTGTCAAGGCAAGATCACATATTTGCAAGGTAAAAAAGTAAGACCCAAGTGTGTAACATATTGATTAGAACATTCTTACTTTATCTAATCGCCATATTGTTTCCATTATGCATCCAAGCACAGTCTTAATGAATTTTAAGGCAGTCACTGACTAATCTCACGCTATGTGATAAAATAATTTATACAACAGAGTTAACCATGGCTGCCAAACTTAAAGGCCTTTCAAGGCAATATCTCCTCTCAAATGTTCAGGCCTCTACAAGGCAGATTCAAACTTATGGCCTTTTCAAGGCCAGACTGAAGAATTTAAGGCCTACCGGTATTCAAGCCTGTGGGAACATTTTACTTCTAACATTTAGCCATGCCATGCTTGATACCAAATCTCTTGTGCTGTCAGTCTACACTCACAATCCTTTCAAAAAACAAGACTAACACTGAATACCAGCACAATAATAACACTAAAACATAATCATAATAAATATTAATCACCTTTCTCCCTAATTAATAATTCAATTCCTGTGTTTTTTGAACCAACAAAGTGAAACTGTGTCTATTACTTTAGCAATGAATAAATTGACACAACTCCCAGTAGCAGTTTAAAAATTGCTGCTTATATATGCTAATCAGTGAAACAATATCTACTCACTCAGGTCAAAACACCTTCTGGTACTCAACTGAATATACAATGGCTGGGGTATAAAATGTCAGTTTAAATATTTCAAAATACGAGAAAATCAAAATCAAATGTGATGGTTCAAATAAAGGGAACAGCACCCGCGACAATAGGGATAACGGATCTGAAGGAAATACAAGCTGGAAAGATGCCAAAAACATGTCTGTCTCGACAGGGGATGATGCAATTCTTCCCCGACATTTCTCAATGCACAGTCCAAGGGAGACAACTCTGTAACTACCTACTGAATAGTGTATACACTGTGACTAAACACCTGTGAGTCAAAGTCCCCTGATCATGGATCAACCTTGGAGTATATATGACTCAATTACTATCTTATTCTCAGATGACTCAATGTTTTGTCAGAACTGGGTAGAATATTGGATGTCACGAAGGATGCAAAACAATTATTAAGCTCTTTCCTGAATGAGTAAAATGTTTTTTATAACTGTGCATCAGAATGATTGAGTTAGTGGTTTGCTACTACCATTTGACTGATTATCTCTGACTCAGATAGGCTTTAACACCATTCCTCCAATAATCACAATAATAAATATTAATTAATACACACATATTTTCCATGAAATGATTTTAGAAAAATCCTTTAAGCTGAGTAGTTAGTCTTGATCTAAAGAACCAAAAAACAATGATGTACATTTAATGTGTGCAGTATTTTAGATCATTTGGTTTGCAAATATTAATAATATAATCATAAATAATATTCATCAAAAATCTGCCTCATCATGGCAGACCAAACTAAAAGGTTAATGCATATATTTTATGGTCGCTTCAAACAGTTTGAGAGTCTCTGCATCATATGATTTAAGGGAGGTAACTCTTCATAGGTTATCTTGTAACGGTGCAAATGAGGAGATCTGATTGAAGTATGCTAAGTGGTGCAAACATATGTTGACCATTTGTTGAGAAAAGAACACATTTCCAAACATTCAAGCAAGCATTTCTTGTTCGTTGTCACTTGAATCGAAGAGTAATTAAGTTCTCTTTCTGTAGTGGCGAGTGTCTTCTCAGTGTGACTGATGTCTGATGACTCCACAAAAACATTCATTCAATGACCTACCTTCGTTCCACTGAAACACAACACCCAGAGATTAAACATTCCAGGTATTCCACATCAAGCTACAAATCTAAGAAATCAGTAGTTTCAAAGTAGCTTCCAATTAATGTAATTTCGGTTACAACTAGGGCCACATACCTCAGTGCAGTTCATAAGACTAGCAGTTAATGTTAAATAACTAGAGTTTAGAAGAAAACAAGTTTCTCTAGATTGTCAATAGTGATGGACTTACGGACTGGTGGCCGTGTCGAAATCTGATTCCTTATGTATTTGACAGGACTGTCGAAGAGTTTTCATTTTTGTATTTGGCACATATTCCTGATTAAAACATAGGGTTGGATGGGTTTTTTTTAAAGTAAAACAATTTGCAAAGTGATCTGCAATTTTCTTTACATGTATCACAATATGGGTGTTGACGTCCTCAATTATATAAAGAACTTAGTTACTTCTTTGTACATGTATTGACATTTTTGGTATGCCAAGCCTTTGAGTCAAATAAAATCCATTTAAAAAATATAGTTGCTTCCTCAAAGAAAAACATAAATTAACATGTCTGAAATTGAGAAAAGAAATATAAAATTTAAACCTATGTTTAAAGGGGACTTTGCAACTTTGCAAATTGTTATTTCAGCATTTGTAGCAGGTTCACAAGTTTTATGTAAATTAAATACAGGTTTTGTAATAAATAAAAACATAATGATGTTTTTTTCTCCAAAAATTGAGGGAGTCCACTTACTATGTTTATAAAACAAATTTCAACTTTTAATGTCTAGAACACCTGGAATTTTTAATCTCTGAAAAAATGAAAATAACAATGAAAATAATACCTAACCTTGTGTAGTAGCTGCTGCATGTGAAATATGTGTAAGATAGATACAATACATACAACCAACCCAGCTTTGTTTACAGTGAATACAGAGTTGTCTTTTCCTGATAGCATGAAGTGCATTATGAAGCCAGCATGTTTACAATTTCCATTGTGTAATGACACACATGCACTCCCAAGTACTTAACTGCCCTAAATAAACAGTTTTGACACTTCTATACTTACTAACTCCACTGTTGTGTTGATTGTGAATTCTTTCAACAGCCATGCACGTCAAAAGAGCATTAAACATTAATCCCATCCCGTCACAATACCTGACAATACCAACACTGACTCTTCCCATGATGTGAGGCCATGGATGGCCCAGACATCTAAGGCGTGACAATTTGTTTAACAGAAACCTATGATTGTGGGTTCGAATCACGGTTCACTCTGATTTTGTTTCTGGGTTTATCAGCACCATATGTCGGGAATCAAACCTGGGTCTTCGGTGTGACGAGGGAACGCTTTAACCACTAGGCTACCTGACCGCCCCCTGTATCCACTGGACCACAAAAGAGGTGGAGATACACACAAAAGAATACAGATGGCCTATGGCTATGTTTTCATTCATCTACATGTGGTTCACTTCAACCGTTGATGATCAAAAGTCCAACAACACAGTTGTACCGCTCTCCATACCACGAGGAGCAAGACAACGCTGCCAGTAAATACATCCACCCTCTAACAACATATTTACAACACAGTGCACACTGACCTACATATCAATAATAAACAAACTGAATTGGGTGAATGGAATGGCAATGTATGTTCTCAAAGTTTCTGTCATTTCAAAGCATTAATAACTTCCCTTTCTGTAAATACAACCCAACCATACTATGCACCATGGAATTGTAGCCTATTCTAAATATATTTTCAATATTTTATCCAGAAATGGAAGTGATATAATAATTCAGATTTGAAAAAAACAAACCCACAAAACAATTGGTTATTGGGCAGGTGAGAATCCCATTAAGGCTGGACCAACTTAATTCGTTTTACCTGCCACTTCCAAACCACCTCTTCCCTCCAAAAATGGCAGGAGAGAATTTTTATTTGTAAAATAAACATCTCGCTTCACAGGGAGAGGTCCCCTGTCAGAAACGGGATAGAATACTTTGTGGTGATCTGCTCTATTTTGACCTATGAATCTGTGATGAAACATTTACCTAGTCGTCCCTGGGAAACATAGTTTGGAGTGTCTGGTCCTGTTCTCATTTGGATGTAAACTGGTAAAAGCATTTTTTGTAAGATATATATCGGTCATTGTAGCAACCACAATAACATAAAAAGGACTTACCTCCAGCAGGAAAGGCAAGACAGGGATGAAGGTTCCGGTAGATTTACTCAGCGTGTTCAGACATCGTACACAGTGGAACCGCAGCGGGAAATATCTCGGTGAGGGGAGCAGTCTGTATTCAAATTACAAATTATTGTTTGTTTGTTTGTTTGTTTGTTTAAAGCCACAGTCAGCAATATTCCAGCTGTATCAGCTAGCGCTGGCTATCAATATAGGTCTAGAGATCGATAATCGTGAACTAAATATTGATCAATTATCGACAAATTTTGGAGAAGTAACTTTTAGCAAATATACAAAAAGCTCAGAGACAAAACAGCATATTTCACGGCACTGAGTTATGCATAGATTACTTTGTGGACATTAAGGGTATAACACCATCACTTGTTTCCATCTTTGGCAACCTATTTCATCACAATAGTTTATGTAAGATTTTATCCATGACACAATTTTCATATCGAATATTGTTAATAATTCTTCTCATCAACGATAATTCCGATTATCAGTCTTTTTAGCCATTTTTGCGGGTGTGGTTATAGATAGACCCTTTCTTGACAGTTTAATATATTTTAAGGCCTTTTCAAGGAAGATTCAAACTTAGCCCTCTTCAAGGACAGACAGACAGACCATTTTGACTATCCAAGCCTGTGTGATCGTGTGTAACTGGGGTACAAGAGATTTAGACAAGAGCCCTAGTATGAGCACCTTGTAATAAGAAAGTCTGGGCCTGATAAACCGATGATCTGGGTACCGATGACACACAGTCAACAAAGTCACCAAGCATGACCACCCAATCCACTTAGTCACCTTGTACAACAAATAGAGCTTTCGGTTGTTAGAGACGTTTGGAAATAACTTGTAACCTAAATGGTGTCTGACAGACACTCGTGTAATAATTTCTACGTAACAACCGATCATCACAATCACAATACACAGCTCAAACATCTGGGATTTGGTTACGGAGCTTGATTACGTAAGGCACTACAGCTTATTATAGTGAAACGACCACCTCTGTGGTCTAGTGGTAGAGCGTCTGCCCGGAGAGCGGAAGGTCCAGGGTTTGATTCCCGACTGTGTCATACCAAAAGACATTAAAAGATGGTACTTGTTGTTACCCTGTCTGGTGCTCAGCATTAAGGGGCTAAAACAAGGACTGGTCGGCTCTGAGTCAGTATACTGTGTCTGAGTGGGGTATTCATGTTAAACTGCAGCATGGTATCTCAGTGAGCTAGCACTATAAATCGGCATCAGTCCGGACTAATACAAGCAGCCACGCACACACACACACGTGCATGCATGTCCCTATATAAGTGCAATAATCTTAGACGCGATGTTAAACCCAATTTCACCTCACCTATTACCATATTTTCTTGAGTATAGTGCACACTTTTTAAAAAAAACAACACAGCTGTGTAGAAGGGGGTGTGCATTATACACGAAATAATGAGTTTTGATGGTTTTTTCCCCCAGTGGAAAGAAAGCATGTAACATTTAAAATAATTTTTATTAACAAAAACCACGGTCAGATTACTGCTATTGACGCCTTGAAACGTAAATCAACTTGTCTTGTGATTTATTATCTCAAATTTCGAATTTGTACTGACCAAGTTTCTCATCACCCGTTCGTTTACTGGACTTCGCTGAAGGGGTACGGTGTAATATTTTTCTGCGCTTGATAAGCGAAAAAAGAATTCCCCAAAATACTGAAACCGCTAGAGGGGGGTGCGCATTATACATGGGTGCGCACTATACTCAAGAAAATACGGTATAGTGAAACCATGTAACAGGAACTTCATTGGCTCTAAAAAAACACTTCAACTGAATAATTTATTTCTTGTTGTGAGAGAATTTGTTTTCGGGGTTAGGGGCAGGTTGGTTTTGTTTTTGTGTGGTTGAGTTGTATTTTTGCGGGTGTGGTTATAGTTAGGCCCCTTCTTGACAGTTGAATAAATTATAAGGCCTTTTCAAGGAAGATTCAAACTTAGCCCTCTTCAAGGACAGACAGACCATTTTGATTATCCGAGCCTGTTTGATCCTGTGTAACTGGGGTACAAGAGATTTTATGGTAGCTTCAATCAACTGTGACTCACTTGATGGTGCCGATGATGGTCTGGGTGAGCGGGTAGATGAGTGGGTGGAGGACATCGTCAGACTGGGAGGCGCCGAGTAGACACGCCCACAGCTCCACACAGTGGACAAACTGCCAGTTATACACCGCCTGACACGTATCCTGGAATAAGAATCGGAGGAGAAAACATGAGATTGAATGTCAGCACTGGGCTAGTAGTGACTTGTATCACTTTTAAAGACAAACAAAACCTAATCATTGGTAATCAGACTGAAAAAAACAAGATGAGGATGAGTTTGAGCTTGGCTTAATCATCATGTTTGATCCATTTCAGTGTTATCATATAGTCTTTTACTAGACAGAACAGAATATTACAAGACTCAGGTTTGGTTTGGTTTGGTTTGTTGTTTAACGCCGCACTCAGCAATATTCCAGCTATATGACGGCGGTCTGTAAATAATCGAGCCTGGACCAGAGAATCCAGTGGTCGATATCATGAGCATCAATCCACGCAATTGGGATCGATGACATGCATCAACCAAGTCAGCGAGCCTGACCACCCGATCCCGTTAGTCGCCTTTTACGCCAAGCATGGGTTGCTTGGACTCAGGGTTCGGACAAGTGGCTAAAGCCCAGTAAGCTCTCAGAGCACCAAATTTAAAAACATTTGACCTATACACAAAACAAATGAAGAGGTATGTTATTTTACACTATGTTCGCATTGCATGATTTAAAGAAATGTTTTCCATCCTTGTTTGCCAGCTAATTGGCAATATCATTAGCACATGCAAAAACAGACTCAGCAATCTCCATTTTGTTATAATATCATGTAAATAATTTATCAAATTACAATATAAAACAAGCAACAAAAAAAAAAATGCAAAACAGAAAATAAATGTGAACTATTGAGAAAAGATGTTACCTGGTAAATAAAATTCAGTCTGTTATTTTTATGCATCCAAATTTTGAACAAAGTACCATTTTTTCCCCAATTTTCTAAAATTTGAACTTAGTTTGAAAACCTAGATGAATCCCAGTTGAATTTTATTTTTCAAAATTAAGCATAAAAAATATGATTTGAAGCATTTTAGTAGAAATACAAAGGCGTACACTGACTTCTGTCCCAGAAACCAAGTTATCTTAATTAAACATATACTGAGTGAAATGAACAAGGGAAGACTAAGTTTTAGACACAGCAAAAGGATATGCCATCTTGGATTCCCAGCCTTGTTTACCAGTTATGCTTTGGAAACAATAAACACATCTCAACTTTTGATTCTGACGTGTTGAATTTGTATATGAGCTATTTCAACAGTAAAACTTATTTCACTATATTTTTCATTGTTCCCTTGTTCATTTCCATCAGAATCTATATCTACTTATTTGCTTGAGCTGAGTCAATCTAGACTCTCCAAATCATTCTAGACTTGAGTTGGACTCCTTTTTTAATTTATTCTCAAGGGTGAACTGTGAACTGTGAACTGTGAACTGTGAACTGTGATGCCTCAAGTATTTTAGATAGAAACTGCATCGAATACAAAGAAACTGGTAATGTCACCTTCTTCTTGACGGTGATGGCGTTACGGAGATGTATGGCGAGCTGACGAATGTAGATGAAGGCGTACTGGTAGGCGAGCACAGAGTCAAGCAGGAAAATCTCCACCAGGGAGCGCTGCATGAAGTTGATCAGCGGCAACGTTGTCGGGGATGTAAACTTCACGTTCTTCACATATGCCATGTACATTTGCTGGAAAACATTCAGTGATGTCAGTGACATATCCACCTTGTATATTTGACAAAGTAAATAAACAACATTTAACTTTCCGTGCTTTATAGTAGACTGCCATATTCTTAAAACAGATTTGTATTGTTTACAATGTTGATATTTTTATTTGTGATGACCAGCTCATACTTAACATATGGTTTTTCCCTGTTCTGCAAGGGAGAATAATTACTAAGCAGGAATAAAACATAATATCTTCATTTTCGACATTGTTTTGACCAGTAACCAGTGACTGAAATAACACCCTTTGCTCCACATTTGGTTTAAAAAAATAAAATAAATGGTTCTCAGGCAATGAGTGAGTGAGTGAGGTTTTACGCCGCTTTTAGCATTATTCCAGCAATATCACGGTGGGGGACACCAGAAATGGGCTTCACACATTGTACCCATGTTGGGAATCGAACCCTGGTCTTCGGCGTGACGAGCTAACGCTTTAACCACTAGGCTACCTGACCGCCCCCTCAGGCAATGACTTTTAAAAATATAGAGCGGGCGGTGTTTTTTTTGCTTGTTCAAACTAGTATCTAACCAAATGAACAGTTGCGTACTATCAACCTGGGAAAGGGCCTTTCTACAGAAATGAGCATACAAACTCCTATTGCCATGACCATAACATGGGATGCTCAGTAAAGGGAAGTAACTGTGTAATTTTTTTGGAAGATGGAAATAAAAACGTGCGGCAGATTTATGATGATGTGGGCAGTGCTAAGAGAACCAAGACTATTATTTATTTTAGCCTTATATAGCTACAAACTCCGACTATTCAATCTGGCTGCACATCATGGTGTACTGGTGTTGGTCCTTATTTGTTATCACTATTTGGGCTATAAAGGTAGACTGGTAAATGTTTCAGGTTAATTTCTACCACTAGCTAACATCAACTAATCTGGGATTTAAACCCAAGACTAATGGCGTCTGTCACTTAAGGGAAGCAACTCTGCACAAGGAACTCGTTGGCAGCTAAGGGAAGTATCGCTGCACAAGTTGGGAGCAAGCTCCTCACAGCAAAAGTCCGTTCACGGAGCTCTCTATACTATTGTCAAAACACCCCACTGTGATAGGTGGCTACAACTAATGCATGGAGTTGAACTCGCAACCAACTGACAGGTTACGTTTACAAACAAGTGATGACTGCCATGACGAACACTCTTGACCCAGCTACATTATTGTCTTTGCTTGTTAATTTGAATTACATAACAACTATCATATAATTGGTATAGTATGAATGAAAGGGAGAAATTGGTTGGTTTTCCATTCGTCTGCAATCTCGCACCAATCCAATCAAACAAACAAAATGGTTAATTTATCTGGGTAATATGGTCAGACGTAATTTTTTTCAAAAATTGCTGTGATGGCATTCCCAAAGACAAACTAATGTATAAACGTTACTAAAATTGGGGTTAGAGGGCAAATTTCAAGATTCTTGAAATGGCCGCGCCCACACTGGTGGCAATGATGTTACCGAGAGTGTAACGTAGGTGTCACATGCTGGGAAGGGGCGGTATGTAAATAATCGAGTCTGGACAAGAAAATACAGACATCATGAGCATCGATCAACATAATTGGGATTGATGACATGCATCAACCAAGTCAGCGAGACTGACCACCCAATCCCATTAGTCGCCTCTTATGACAAGCATAGTCGCCTTTAACGGCAAGCATGGGTTGCTGAAGACCTATTCTACACCGAATGGGAGGGGGCTTGTGAACTCAGCAGCTAAGGGAAGCAACTCTGCTCAGTGATCTGGTAGGCAGTTAAGGGAAGCAACTGAATTATGGAGCATTGACCGAGGTTAACAACCAGCCACTTGAGTCTCTGTCCCGCTCACCTTCATGCACGGCTCCAGCATGGCATCCTGCAACATCCGCACCAGCTTATTGATGCACAGGAACGCCAACACCCTCGTCGTCTCCTCCCCTGTACTCCACAACAGGATCATTTTCTGAAACAACACATTAGGCTTAAAAAAAAAAGAATCGGTTCTCAGGCAATGACTTATAGTGCGGGCGGGCCGTGGTTTTTCTTTTTTTGGCTTGTTAAAACTAGTATGTAACCAAATAAACAGTACCATCAACCCGGGAAAGGGCTTCCCTACATAAACAAGCATACAAACTCTTATTGCCGCCATTACCATAATGCGAGATGTGTAGTAAAGCAGTGCGCATTAAAGGGAAGTAACTGCGTGCTCATTGGATCGCATTGTTATTAAGAATTAGGATTTCTTATTTTTTTTTAAACGGAAATAAAAACGAAACGTGCGGCAGACTTTATGATAATGCAGGCGGTGCCTGTGAACCAAGACTTGTGTCTTTTGGTATGACACGTTTGGGAATCAAACCCTGGATCTTCTGCTCTCCGGGCAGACGCTCTACCACTAGACCACGGAGGTGGTCACCAACTGATGGGAGGTATTTGTGCATGACAAGCACAGATTAACATTACCAACAGGTAATTGATAACAAACAGCATACAACTGTTGCACACAGTTGGCGTTCGTTCGTTCGTGAGTTTGGTATCGCCGCTTTTAACAGTATTCCAGTTATATCGCAAAGTCTAAACGAACATACTAAGACACCCAGAACAGGGGCATCAAACCCGCTGAGTGCAACCATACCCGTCTGCAACCCCTCCTCTCTACGCACCTTCAGCAATAGCCGGGCCACTTTGGGGAATGTGGCGTACATGGAGACAAGCTTGTGGATGTGTTTCAGGATCACATTCAACATGGCGGCATCCGAGAGGGCAGACAACAGCTTCAACAGAAAAGATGTCATATTCATTCACTAGTAGCATTTGAGGACTATAATTCTGAACCAGACGTAAATTCTTCAATTTCGCTTCAAATTGGATCTGCATAAAACTCACAGAAAACATAACACTGTGAACATGTTGGTCTCGTTCAAGCATGACAAGCTACAAACTCTGAGGACTTACCAAATCTTCTGGACTAGTCTCTTACAGTGAAGAATTTCTAAGGCCATATTCAAAGAGGCAGATCAAGTATTTTGAAAATTAGGGGTGCACACAACGCATGTCATAAAGTGAATAAATCCCCATGATAGCACGGACACCATTTGATATGCCAAGGGGATTGTAAAGTCTGAAAACAGGGGGCTTGAGTTCAGAGTTGTTTAACACCGCACTCAGCAATATTCCAGCTATATGAGGCGGTCTGTAACTAATCGAGTCTGGACCAGACAATCTAGTGATTGACATCATGAGCATCGATCCATGCAATTGGGATCGATGACATGCATCAACCAAGTCAGCAAGACTTACCACCCGTTAATCGCCTCTTACAATAAGTAAAGTCGCCTTTTATGGCAAGCATGGGTTGCTGAAAACCTATTCTACCCGAGGTGGGGTGAGATGGGGTTTAACGCCGCGTCCAAGATTATTGCACTTATATAGCGACGTGCGTGTGTGTGTGGCTGCTTGTACTAGTCCGGACTGATGCCGATTTATAGTGCTAGCACACTGAGATAACATGCCGCAGTTTAACATGAATACCCCACTCAGACACAGTAGACTGACTCTGAGCCGACCAGTCCTTGTTTTAGCCCCTTAATGCCGAGCGCCAGACAGGGTAACAACAAGTACCATCTTTGAACGTCTTTTGGTATGACGCGGCCGGGGATCGAACCCCGGACCTTCCGCTCTCCGGGCGGACGCTCTACCACTAGACCACGGAGGCGGTCTATTCTACCCCAGATCTTCATGGGTCCAAACTTACAGTGAGCAGGTCGGTCATGTAGCTCTTCATGTCAACACGGAGCTTCTTCCACTTGGCGTTCTGGGCCGAGAATGGCGTCTGCTGTTGAGTCAGGTCGGGAACTTTGAGGATGCTCTGCAGTGCTGGGACCACCTCCATCAGACACAGACGAACGACGCCGTTGAACACTGCAACAGACATGGTGTATGTCAGGTGAGGTGAAATGGGGTTTAACGCCGCGTCCAAGATTATTGCACTTATAAGGCGACGTGCATGCACGTGTATGTATGTGTATGGCTGCTTGTACTGGTCCTGACTGATGCCGATTTATAGTGCTAGCTCACTGAGATACCATGCCGCAGTTTAACATGAATACCCCACTCAGACACAGTATACTGACTCCGAGCCGACCAGTCCTTGTTTTAGCCCCTTAATGCCGAGTGCCAGACAGGGTAACAACAAGTACCATCTTTTAACATCTTTTGGTATGATGCGGTCGGGGATCAAACCCCGGACCTTCCGCTCTCTCATCATTAACCTTGTCAGCCATCAATGGACGTATCATGTTGTGTTCACAGTGTAACTTGCACTGTATTGAAGTCTTATAACAACTTATTTAAAGTCAATCTATCGCTCAGAATATAGACAAAATTTCACAGATATCCAATATGAGTGACTTAATTCCCATCTATGAATAATTGAGTCTAGCCAGTTAAGCTTGTGATTGGGCCAGTTAAACAAGGTTGTCTAGGAAACCTACTCAATCAAGTCCAAGAGTCTGACACACAATTTAGTAAAAGTGCTAGGGACCTACTCTGAACCATGTCCCCAAATAATCGAGTCTGGACCTGACAATCCAGTGATTGGCATCAATCCACACAATTAGGAAGCGATGACATGTATCAACCAAGTCAGTGAGCCTGACCACCCAATCCCGTTAATCGCCTCTAACGATAAGCATTCTCGCCTTTTACGGCAAGCATGGGTTGCTGAAGACCTATTCTACCCCGGATCTTCACGGGGCCTGACTGAATCGGACAAGTTGAGTCTTCCTTCACATTGAGCAACATTTATCAATGTGTGACACTAAGTGAGTGAGTGAGTGAGTGAGTGAGTGAGTGAGTGAGTGAGTGAGTGTGAGTGAGTGAGTGAGTGAGTTGGGTTTAACGCCGCTTTTAACAGTATTCCAGTTATATATTAATGTGGGAGGAAAGCCTGAAGTGATGCAGGTCTTAGACATTTACCACTTCAGTGAAACCCATGAGCACGGGTATGGTGCTGACAAACCTAGAAACATAATAGGGGCAAACCGGGATTCGAACCCACAATCATAGGTTTCTGGCATGCCCAAGGAACGCAACTCTGCACAGCGAATCGCGGCGCCTTAAACGACTGGGCCACCCGTGCCCCCTGTGACACTAAGTAGTCAGGAGTACATGGACAAATTCACAAGGCTGTGCCCCATAGGGATTCTTTGTTCGAATAGGTCCCCAACAACCTATGCAGGCTGTGAGAGTCGACTTAATGAATCGGGTTGTCAGACCTTGTTGATACCATGCTTACATAATCCCACCAGTGCTCATAATATCAACCACTGGTTTGTCTGGTCCAGACTTGATGATTCACAGACTGCAGTCATTGTCCTGGCATGTTGCTCAGTGTGACGTTAAACAAAAAAAATGGGAAAAAAACAAAACATTTACGCTGTTGTCATTCTCTACCCACCAGTGCTTCCTACGACCTTGTACTTGATTGTCTCCCCTTGCTTCTCACTGGCTTTCTTTACTGCAGCTTTGAAGGCCGAGATAGCTTCTCGCAAAACTGCAATGTTTGGGCTTGACTGAAACAGGACAAGAAATTCTTCAGAATGATGTACACTTATTTTAACTTAAAGTTATAACGATAGGCTTGCGGAGTCACAGAGTCACGGGACCATCGGTGCCATTTAAACCGTCCACTGAAATACTAAGGTTACAATCTCACACAGTTTATATCTCACCTCAATTGAATCGGACCATTTCTTCACCATCTTCATCGTGACCTTAGTCTGTTTATCACCGCTGACCTTCACTTCCTCCTCGTCATCCTCAGCGTCGCTGTCGTCACTGGCAACCTGAAAATGATTGGCATGTTAATGCAAACTTTTCAAAAACAAAACCGAACATGTATCAGAGATTCAACTGGATTTTCAAAGCAGTCATCCAAATTGTGGTATATTCTTTCAAGAAATGCCACTCAAAGATATAACAGTCGAACCTTGCTTATCCAGACACTTGCCTTTACTCAAATATTGTCCAGATAAAAGGGTTTCTGGGTATTTGAATCCCTTGTTAACGGATCAGAATTACCGCCACTGCCCAAATTCTGCCGAGGTATATGAAATAAATGGCAGCAGGAGGATTAATTGTTTTGTAAATGTTGTATACAGTTGTGACGGAGAGGTCAGGACAACCTGCCACACATTAACATTAATGATAGCCGTGTCTAGCTCTGTGAGATGAAAGCTAATGTTTATTAATTATATTAAGTTGAACTCATTCATGTGTAAAAAATGTTATCTACAAACATATTTATCATTAATGAACCTTTTGAGGTTGAAATTCTCCTTATGCAATATTTGTGATTATGTTCTACACCGTTCGTAATTTAAATTCACTGTCCAGATTTGGAAACCTGGTTTCCAGGTAAAAGAAGCATTTTAGGCAGTATTTATTCTGTTTCACAAAAATATTGTCCAATATGTGAGGTTTCCGGGATTCTGGGGTCTAGATAAGCGGAGTGCCAGTGTACATACAATCGTCATGGAGACGTGGCAGTCACCAGCATCAGCACTGAAAGAATAAAAAAGTTAAATCCTATGTCTTCCTTGATACTACAGCTTCTAATATGACACCCAAAAATATTTAATGCCGTCACATGACACCGATTGTACCGGTCTAGAGTGGTTCTTTTAATTCAAATTTGTTTAATTATTTTCTCTAATTTTCTTGTGTTTAAAGTTAGACATGAAAGACAAAGGGTCTCTGGCATACCGATGACAACCCCAGTGTAAAGAAAATAAATATTTTGGGGGTTAGATTAAATAACAAATTAACCTTATTGGAAAAGGTCAAGGTCGTCCATTACCATAGTTCACTGAGTTTTTCAGCCACAATTGCTGTATAGTGAACAACTTTATCAATTAGGGATAACAACTTTTGTTTTTTTACATTTGCAATGGTTTGATGTAAATTCTTAAACTGTTCTCAAGCTGCAACTGATAGGTGAGGTGAGATGGGAATTAATGTCACGTCCATTGCACTTATATAGCAACGTGCATGCGTGCGTACGTGCGTGCGTGGCTACTTGTACTAATCTGGACTAATGTTGATTTATAGTGCTAGCACACTGAGATACCATATTGCAGTTTAACATGACAGACAGGGTAACAACAAGTACAATCTTTTAATGAGTGAGTGAGTGAGTGAGTTTGGTTTAACGCCACTTTTAACAGTATTCTAGTTATATTGCAGCGTGTCAGCTTAATGTGGGAGGAAAGCCCGAAGTGATGCAGGTCTCAGACATTTACCACTTCGGTGAAACCCACGAGCACGGGTGCCCCCGGCATTCTAGAAGTTGGTGAGTAAATAAGAAAACATACAACTGAATGGATATACTTCTGGCTCATTGCATTTACCCATGTTTTGATACAGATTCCTCCACTGCTAAATGCAGTAAACCAGAACTTGTTATCCATAAAGTTGTCTTGGTTTTTTTAAATAGCACACAGATAATTGGATGAAGTCAGATGTACAGTAAGGATTCAGGATAAAGGTGTAAAGATGTTGTTACAAGCTTGATTGGATACTAATTAAGTGTCCATTGCTTGATTGGATCTCTGAAAAACAAAACACAGCTATCAGTCAATCATTTGTCAATTAGTAATCAATCAAATCAGTCAAAATGTCCTACCTCAAGTTTATCAGGAAGTTTGTGAAACTTTCCGCCACCCTCTTCTTCATCATCGTCGGAACTTTCCTCGCTCGACTGCGCGAGAAGTACTTTCTCCAGATCCTTCCCATCATCATCCTCTTCACTATCATCCTCCTCTAAATCTGCGTCGTCATCCTCATCATCTTCATCATCAACATCCTCATCGAACTCCAGCAACTTCTTGTCCTCAGTTTCAAGAAACTTATAAAACTCTGGATCTGCTTCCTTGAGCTTTTCGGCCAGACTCTGTTTGGATTTTGCAGACTTGGGAGCACTACTTTTCGGAGTTACAGTTTTCATGCTCTTCTCAGAGGGTTTCTCCTGTTTCTTAACACTGGCAGTATTTTCTCTGTAATCAAAATATCTGTTTAGTTTTCATAGTGATTGATTCTTTTTTTTCTCATTCATATAAATTTATTTTATGGTCTCTGAATTCTCATTCTGAATATTTTCAATGGTATTCATTAACATTTAACATTTGGGAAGAAAATTTATGGATGTCAACTTCTTTATTATGAGGAACACAGCGTATCGGAGTATATGCTTACTCCTTCATCAGGTGAATAAATGACATGAGGCTGAGAGCATATATATGTACACGTAAGAACAAAAGAAGTAACAAGATAACAAAAGGTGGCAACTTAACAAGGGAAGCCAACAGATGATTGGCATTGATAGGCAATTAGCAGTTGACAATGGAAGCCAACACTTTACAGTAATTCGCACTGATAGTATGGACAACTGGAAGCCAGGACTAAATTATCACTGATAGGTAAACAAGAGGCCGGGGGTAATTAGCACTGACAGGTAAAGGAATAGCAATGGGCTATTACCAATCAGTGCTAATTACCCCCTTTTGGGTATCCTTACGTGTATCACTTCTAAATGCCTGATTTGACACTTGATTTCACATTAGCCTAATAAAAACAGAAAGTTTACGACACAAATGGATGGAGCGTAAACTGTTTCACATATAAAGTCAATATCAAAATCACCTTCCGTCTCAAAAAGTATTTATCGACCATGACGACAAGTGACATATATATTTGTGACAGAGGCTATTACAGTCATAGGCCTCCACGTTTCGTTCATTCCATGACACGCAGGTTGTGATCGCGAACTTACGTCGGGGTCTTTGCTTTCTTTTTCTTCTTGTTCTTCTTTCCTTTAATATCAGGAACAGGCATTGGCTCTAAAGACGACGAGTCATCGCTGTCAAAGTCACCAGACATGAATTCATCCACGCTCAAATCTGCCAATTTCCTGAAAAACAACCCACGTGGTGAATGTTGACATCGACTGCCCGATCAAGAAAATACTACAACATGGCAAGATGGAATGGATAGCTCATCTATTTCTACTCAGATCGGCCATTTACACAAGGAATAGATAAATGAGCAAGAAATTGGTCTTAACAAATGTTCACAAGTAATGTAATAGTATCTGTAAAAGTCTTACCTTTTCGTAGTTGCCATGCTTGTAGAGGAGGTCGTCATTACCGGATGTGACGTCCGCTGAAATGTGATTGGCTCGCTGTCAGGATTGGGATTTCCCTTGCTTTTGTTTCCAAATGGCGGGTTTTTCAAAATAATACTGATTAAAGACCAGAAGTGTTACAACCCTTAATGTCAAAATTACTCTTAATGTAAAAAAATTTACATTAAGGGTTGCGGGTTAACTCTTGTTACAACCTTTAATGTAAAAATTACTCTTAATGTAAAAATATTTTACATTAAGAGTTGCGGGTTCACCCAACTCTCAATGTAAAAAAACTCTTATTGTAAAAAAATTTACATTAAGGGTTGAAGTGATAGATAATATTTTTTATACATTAAGGGTTATCACTATGAAATAATACTTATCGAACTTTCATGAAACTTCGCAGATTTAATTGATCGTTACTTTGTCTAGATGTGCAAATGACTAATCATTTTTAGATCCCCTCTTTACAACGACCACCTGGTTGGTATATTCAGGCTCCATAAAAGGGTTTATGACCTCTAACCCTTTTAACCGATTTTTATCAAACTTGCTGTTTTACAAAGGTTATTTTTCGATGCTTTGCAAGGCAAGGTTACTATCCTAATACCGTAACGAAGGAAAGTAGGACTCAGCCCAAGCAGATCAGACCAAGTTGTGGATGATGTTGGGTTGTTATTAGAATGGTCCATTAACAGAGTTTTAGGCATAAAATAATTGGGGTGGGGGGACGGGGGGAGCTGACATAAGCTTAATTTCGACCAATCAGATGCCTCGGTTATATTGCCATGATGGTAAATCTCTGCATATCGATAAATCAGCTCTGCAGATGCCCTTACCGTTACCATGGAAGCAAGGTAGTAACGTAAATAACGTCATATTGTATAGTGTCCCTAGATACACCTTTGCAACAAGATTTACAAAATCGTCAGTTATGACCCATAAACAAAACCTGTAAATAACGACCAGGTTGTCGTTGTTGAAAGGTTGTTGCAATATGAAAGGTGTACTGCACTTACACAAGTTCAATGGCTCTACTTTTTGTTGTTCCTGAATAAACGCGCACAGTTGAAGAAAACTATTACGAATAATAAGTCTTCACTCTATTCAGTACTTGTAGGCCACGGGACTTTATGTACAGACGAAATACAATTTAGGTGCAAACAGTATGAAATACAGCACATTCCTTTGCATTTTAATTTTGAAAAAGCAGCTTCAACATAATTGCATATTATCAAAGTTGGATTATTTGTGTTCTTACAGCATTGGTGTAAAACAAGTACTTTGCTGTTTTCATATTGATAATAGGGTCCTGCAATGACAGGAGTGTATTAAACTTCAGAGTATTTGGAAAGATGTAAAACTTTGCCTCAGATGGCTATAACATAGAAAATTAAAAAAAAAGTGATATTCATTTTCGATATGGTTTAGGTTACAAACTTTACATTTTCTAAATTCACGAGGAATATTGAACCGAACCCAAAACGAGTCCTGGTTTTATTTACAGTTATACTACTCAAACAGGTCTCACATGAAATGAATTTTTTAAACTGTACATAATAAACCATTTGGCTTTTTTCGCATAAATTACCATGCCAAACCCGAAAAAAGGGTTTTAACCGCTGACGTAACATATTTAAAAACGAGGTTTTATTACCACATGTTTGAAAGTACCAGACATCACCACATCCTAATCTAAAAGTAACAGATTTAAGTTTCGTTACCTAATTTACGTGGCCTTGTTCATCGTACAACTGCAGCATATTGTAACATTTTGGGGGTATACGAGATTCCTGCATATTATAAAGAGACAGCAAATATTTGACACATTTCAAAACAGCGAGCGACTGAATAACACATCTGCCAGACTCGGTTCTATGTCACTGAACCCCCATATTCCAGCCCCGTATAAAAGTATTGGTGTTATCTTTGTATCAAAACCTTTATAAGTAAAAGTGAGGCGAGTATGGTTTCAAGGAATGTATACTAATTAACAGGGCCATGAACACCTTTCTTGCCTCAATTGGAATATTATTTAAACATTCGACCTCAGTAATATATTGCTAAAATACAAGCCAACATAACTGTATCCAGTTACTACTTCATACGCATTTCCATCATAATACCATTTTTTCATAACGTGATAAACCTCCCCTATTTTTGAAAAACAACTATTTTTGTTTTCGATAGATTGACTGGCATTTCCCATTTACAACCGTCATCATGTAAGATATTCAACTTCATTTGTACACAGTAAGGTAAAATATAAATAAATTCCGGATGTAACTTAACACCAAAACGACAGTTTTGTTCCATTTTGTAACCAATTCGTTTATGAAAAAAACTGAAACAAAAAGGGACAAAGAATACACCCTTGACTCACACCCATGAAGCAACAAATATACCAGATACTCTGTTGTTTGAACGAACACATTACTGTACAAGAATTGTAACATTTTACCCATTTTAGCACTCAAACCATGTTTGTACAATGGCTTCCATAGATGTCGTCAAGCCAGCTGATTTATTATGTTTCCAGGCACTGATGCTTTCAAAAAGTTCGGATCTGGTGATTGTGGATTCTAATATGTCAATTGTCAGTTCTTGCACATAACCATGACCTGTCACTATGTCCTCCACCTCACCAAGATTATCCTGAATACCCATTGGTTCAGAATTCAGTGACGAGAAATACTCCCCCCAGTCTTGTACATCAATAGGGTTGGGTCGTTGCGGTCGTCCAGACATACGTTTTATGATGTCCCAGAAACGTTTAGAGTCTACCGCTGGTGCATTTTCTAGGTCACTCCTTTCACATTTTGCAAACTTGTCCTTCTTGATTCCACACAGTTATCTGTATTCATTGCAAACTTTGTTTTACTTAATAAGGTATGAGTTATCTTTAGTTATTTCTGACCGCGTTTACCTAATGGCACCTTTCATGTTTTTTACAGAGACATTCATAATCATCGGGAAACGTGTCACTCGATGCCAAACCATAATCTATCACACTACACCCTAAAAGCCCAATAGGAGGCACGGGTGGCCCAGTCGTATAAGGCGCCGCGATTCGCTGTGCAGAGTTGCGTCCCTTGGACACGCCAGAAACCTATGATTGTGGGTTCGAATCCTGGTTCGCCCCGATTATTTTGCTAGGTTTGTCAGCACCATACCTGTGCTCGTGGGTTTCACCGAAGTGGTAAACGTCTGAGGCCTGCATCACTTCCCACATTAAACTGACATTAGCCGTGATATAAATCGAATAATGTTGAAAATGGCGTTAAACCCAACTCACTCACTCACTAAATGCCAAATATAAAAGTTCAGTCACCGATTTGATAGTCAGTTCCAAATCTTCCATTCACAGTATGCATGTTCAGAATTGAACACATTTCAAAAAGAGTTTTTCCAAAGTAAATTATCACATGAATATCCTTCCATCTCAAATTGTTTGAAAACATCTATTAAGTAATTATTACTTTCAACATGGTGAATAACATCGGTCTCCACATAGTCCCGCGTCACACCGGTTCTACTGTTCAAGTACAATGGACCTGTGAAGATCCGGGGCAGAATAGGTCTTCAGCAACCCATGCTTGCCATAAAAGGCGACTATGCTTGTCGTAAGAGGCGACTAACGGGATCGGGTGGTCAGACTCGCTGACTTGGTTGATGCATGTCCTCATATCCCAAATGCGTGGATTGATGCTCATGATGTCGACCACTGGATTGTCTGGTCAAGACTCGATTATTTACTTTCCATCGTCATGTAGCTGGAATACTGCTGAGTGCGGCATTAAACAACAGGCAAACAAACAAACAAATCCAAGTACAATGAAAGAAACAGCTGGGTCTTCTTCCAGTGTACTCAATAAAAAATACGACAAAATCTCTACCCCATTTTGTCTACCTTTGTTATTATTACCAGGTCGATCTCTCCGGCTGGATATATGTAAACACACATAATGTAGCGCTACTGAAACCAAACATTCTTTTATCAAACAGAATAGTAATAGCATGTTATTTGTAGCGAAAATCAATAACACGTCTTACCAGTGAATATTATATAAAAGGTATTCCTCCCGAATATTTCCCGAACTTGGACCTTTTACGAATTACGCTTATTACGAATAATTGCAAGAAACCGAGCAAAAACAATAAAAAAGGAGATCATAGCAAAACGTATCCTATATTTCAAATCAAACTTTGTTTATAAGAATATTTTACATTAAGGGGCGATATGTACGATATTAACCCTTAATGTAAAAAAAATAGTTTTTACATTAAGGGGTGCGGGTTGTTACTCTTAATGTAAAAACGTAACCCTTAATGTAAATATTTTTTACATTAAGAGTAATTTTTACATTAAGGGTTGTAACAAGAAGTCAACAGCATTCTTCCAGCATTCGGACACACACTTCTTCAAAGTTCTAACCTTGCATACTGGACACCGACCAGTTATCGCCATTTTTTCATGTTATTTCTGTAATATTCCGTGTACAAAGTTGACTGTGTCAATAACTTTCATTAAATGCGCTTATTTCTGTCCGTTGAAAACGTTTCACTAGATTTCAGTTATAAGGGGACTATAGGGAATAAAAACAGCGGAAACAGAAGTTTCCCGTCGACCAACTGGAAGTTACCGGCATCGTCTTAACACCACGTGCCACGTGATCACGTGCACCACTTCAGTTATACAAATTTACATTTGTTTATTTTCTCTGTTATTGCAATCAATATGTATATTCATTCAAATTAATAAGGAATGGTTTTATCACTTTGTCGTCTGTAAACTGACGTAAACCAATATCCCCCAAATTCGTACGTAAATTTGTACAGTCTTATATCCATATATATCTGGATTTCGCGAGATATTCAGGTTATGATTTTTATTGTAAAATAGTTCAAATAGGTTTTAGAATTTGTATTTAGAAATGACAGACAGAGAGTAACCAATGACAGAGTTGAATGTGCGTTATCGTGTTGTTGGATTTTTGTTTAGGCGTGAAATAGTCACG